CCTTCCCCAACAACAGACTATTGCTCTCCACCCATCTAGGACTTGCAAGGTGATGTTGCCAAGTAAATATATCTTTAATACTCAGTCCTTTAATACTTAGTTCAAGCAAAAGTCTGTAAGTCTGTAAAGCAGCATACCACCTTTGCTTCCAAATGTTCTTACTCTAGTTGGGATGAGGCGATGTCTCAGTGTGGTGATTCCTCTTCTAGTTGCTACCGAGCTCCCAACAAAGCTCCAAGCTCCAGGCAAGACTCCCACCAGAATATGCTGCTCACCATAAGTTGTGGTCCTGGCAGTTGAATGACAGTCCTCTTGCCTGTTTGTAATAGCTGCCAATCTTCAGACGTCGCCTCCACTTCTCTGTCTGTATGCCGTTTGCTTATCACTTTTCCTCCTATACACACTTCCCCACTCTGTCTTAGCATTTGCTTTTCTAAGCTAAGAGCCAGGGTGGGGTGGGGTGGGGTGTGTGTGTGAGGCTGCATCTGGACATTGCCACATCCTTGAGAACACCAGGGTATAGCTCAATTATCACAGGCATGTTTAAATGGGATGGGAATGTTCAAATTCTACCAGGTACTTAAATCAGTGCTCACCTCAAAAAAGTATAAACAAACAAAAAATCAGTCCATGGTAGATGGCTCTCTATTCCATTCGATCTTTAATGGTCAAGATCTTGGTTGTTTGGGATGTCTTACAATCTTCAGTGATTATTGTATGATACTTTTGGTGATTTTATGGAGATTAACGAAAGGCAGAACAATAATTTATAAAGATCTACAACTTGCTGTTCACAGTGAGATCATGCCTTGCACTTTTCATATTGACAACTGCAATGTGGTCTGCTTAGGACTGCCTTTGAAGACCCAAAAGTTGTAGCTGGTGCAAAATGTAGCAACTTTCCTCAGTACTGCAGGCTGATTTTGACCTATAAAGCTCTGTATGGTTTGGTGCCCAAGTACCAGGTATCTACTTCAAGTACAACTGTTCAGTCCTTGTGCCTCATGTAAGCATGTTGAGGGTTCCTCTTTGAGCTGGGTCTGAAACAGTCTCCCCATATAGCACACTCCCTTCTAGTATTCAGAAAGGCTGTAAAAATAAAGCTGCTTAGTCTAGCTGCAAGGACCACTGAAGTGAAAGTACTTGATTATTTGCAATGGCCTTGGAAAATTAGTAATGGAACAGGTAGGTTTGCAAGGATAATTGTTGCTTCTGCTTAAAAGCCCCGGAGGGCCTATTTCAAAGTTCACACAGGGGGTACAGAGTCTTGCTTGTTTAAGCCCAAATTACCTACAAGATCATCTACTCCCATACAATCCACTCATACTTTTAGACCATAAATGGGACATATTTTGCAATTCTCACTATTTAATATACAGTGGGGCAAAAAAGTATTTAGTCAGCCACCAATTGTGCAAGTTCTCCCACTTAAAAAGATGAGAGAGGCCTGTAATTTTCATCATAGGTATACCTCAACTATGAGAGACAAAATGGGGAAAAAAATCCAGAAAATCACATTGTCTGATTTGTAAAGAATTTATTTGCTTGTTTGTAGGTGACCAAATACTTATTTTCCACCATGATTTGCAAATAAATTGCTTGTTTGTAGGTGACCAAATACTTATTTTCCACCATGATTTGCAAATAAATTGCTTGTTTGTAGGTGACCAAATACTTATTTTCCACCATGATTTGCAAATAAATTGCTTGTTTGTAGGTGACCAAATACTTATTTTCCACCATGATTTGCAAATAAATTGCTTGTTTGTAGGTGACCAAATACTTATTTTCCACCATGATTTGCAAATAAATTGCTTGTTTGTAGGTGACCAAATACTTATTTTCCACCATGATTTGCAAATAAATTGCTTGTTTGTAGGTGACCAAATACTTATTTTCCACCATGATTTGCAAATAAATTGCTTGTTTGTAGGTGACCAAATACTTATTTTCCACCATGATTTGCAAATAAATTGCTTGTTTGTAGGTGACCAAATACTTATTTTCCACCATGATTTGCAAATAAATTGCTTGTTTGTAGGTGACCAAATACTTATTTTCCACCATGATTTGCAAATAAATTGCTTGTTTGTAGGTGACCAAATACTTATTTTCCACCATGATTTGCAAATAAATTAGGCCTCTCTCATCTTTTTAAGTGGGAGAACTTCCACAGTTGGTGGCTGACTAAATACTTTTTTGCCCCACTGTAAATCGCTTACTCTGCTTTTTTGTGGAACAACTTGCTGTTAGTTTTGAGGATGGTCCTCTTTTTACTACCTACCTTTTTATTTTAGTCTTTCAGGTCAGAATTGTTATGTTGCTGACCTTAATTATGTTGACAGGTAATAAAGAACTATAGATGTCTGCAAGCTATCCAATGCTACAAAATGGCAATAGACAGCATATACATCTTTGAAATAATCATGTAATAGCCTATCCCCAAGTTCCACCTTTAGATGACCAAAAAAAAAAAAAATCATACTCCACTTTCAGAACCCTTCTCTTGATATTAAATGACTAACCAGAAAAACTAAATTCTGTATTTTCAAGATGATGATGATGATGATTTGGTTTCTATTGACTTTTTTTTACCCAGTGCATCATCTAAAATTTATCTCTAATTTTGTAATTATAAAAAGCATTACATTTCTATGTTGGTTTGGATACTGAACAGAAAAAAACATTTTGGTGAGGAGACAGCCTTACCTTGCTACATCCCATCTTGGCATATAGATATGATTTGCACAAGCAAACAGGGAAGACTTTCCTGATCACTTCTTTATATAGTATAATTGCCATTAGTCAATCAGACAGTTATTGAGTTGGGTTGAAAATTTAGCCATTCTACTCACAGGATGACTGTTTCTTCCACTTTCCTCATCACAGCTGGAAATGATGGGATGTATTTTTAATACCTTGTTACATTATAAGAATGATTTGCAATCACATTCCTAACTCTCTCATTTTGAATTCATGACCATAGTTTTTATTTGTGGATCTGCCTTTTTAATGCATTTACACCCCCCACAAATCAAAACAAACAAACAAACAAATAAAAAAACAACAACTAATTTTTACCATTCTCCCTTCCCAAAAGGACCATACCATTTTTAACACTGAAGCATTCTCTTCTCCTTCCTGTGTAGGAATATCCTCACACTGTGGATCTGAAAAACTGGTAGAAGATTCACTCATTTGCCTGCATGGAAAATAAAATCCAGGAAGGCCAGTATATTAATCAGAATCTGAAGATACTGAGAAGAACCTATTCTTAAGAATGCATTAACCACCTTATAGTTTACTTTGGGGGTTTTCCCCCCCAATAAACCTACCACAAAGGCTTATTCTAAAGTCAGAACTGCAGGTTTCTAAAAACAGTTTTAAAAAATCAGTATAATTAGCAAATGCTTTGGAAGGAAAAGGGAATTGAAGTCATCATTCAGAATTTCAGTAACACCAGTCACAACCTGAGATGCATATAGCTGGGCTGTAAATTAATTAAACTTGGTTAGCTGATTTCCCTTTAGAAAGTCTCTAGATTAGAGATCCTACCTTGTAGAGAATACTATAAGCTCCCCTTGCTTATGCTTGGGGCATACTGGTCAAAATGTGCCCAAACTGACAAGTATGGTCCTTATTGTTAACAATCATGTGAAAGTCTTGACTGAGTAAACCACGATGGGCAGTGGTGGTCAGGGTTGATGGGTGCATTGGCTGATGACCAAGGCATTTAGGAAGGGTACATGGTAAAGACCATGAAATAAAAAATAAAGTACATGAATGAAAGAAAGTAAATTGGCAAATTTTAAGATGTGGAAATGCTGGTAGAAAGGTAGTAGGGAATATGTGTCTCTTGCAAGAACTGAATGTTTGTTGAAAGAAGCAAAAATAGCTGTTTATAAGATTATGCTTCTGCCCACTTTGTAACATGGAATTGAAAGTTGGGTATGTTAAGAGAAGCAAAAATAAACTGATCGCAGTCAAGATGTGTGTCTGTGTGATAAAGCAAAAACAGCCACATTCAAGAATGAACGGGTACTGAATGAGTGTGGACTGAACACAAGAATAACTGACCAGTACACTATGTAAGAAGTATGTTGGGGTGATTTGATCATGTAGAGAGAATGAATAAGGATCAAATTGCCAAACAACTCTATCAAGGAAGAGTGAATGAGTCAATTGATCAAGAGGGAGACTGTGAAAGTTGTCACAGGATGAAGTTGATGAGAACCTGTAACAGAAAGCCATGAGAAGGCAATGTATGAAGGGGCGTATGCACATGGTGGAACTAAGGATGATTTGCAAGAATAGAAAATATGGAGGAGTTCAGTGAATTGTATCTATGTAAACTGTTTTGGACTGGTTTTCCTTTTCCATTTTTAACCTAATATCTTTAAATTTTTTGGCTTACTGTTTTTAGTCCTTTTTTGTACTCTATATAACATTGCTAATGCCAAGAGGAAACAGTATGAGGGGTCTGTATATTTGTTTGTAGGAACAGGCAGCAGAACTTTTTTTCCCTTAGCAAACCCTGATCATTAGAAGTGAAAATCTGAAGCCTTTATGGGGATCAAATTTGGCTACACAGTATCATATGACTGCTAATTCTTGCTACAAGAAGCAATGAACTTCTTGAACAAAGGACACTAGCCAAGTCTACTGTCTGCTAGGATTAAGACAACTAGGGATTTAATAGAATGTGACTATTCAAATATAGTTCTTTTTTCCCTACTTTATAGAAAGAAAAAGTAGTACAGTTTCTTAGCTCTGCTAACATAATGCATTTATGTTTCCTAAAGAACTGACCTACCTCTCAGAGAGGGTACCTCGATAAAGGAATAGTAACCAGTTGATTTTGAGTAATTCAGGTCTATCTGAGTGAATAGCATCTTGAGGTTTGAATCTGAAAATACAGATATTTTGCCTGTAGTTTTTCCACATGTGTTAAATATGTTGCTAAATAGCACATCTTTCCTCCATGGAAGTATTGCAAGAATAATTATACATTTTAAAGACTTAGTAAGTCAGTTTCATATTTCCAAATTCATGCAGTTACAGTTTCAAAATAAGAATGCAAATAATTGTCTCATCTCAAAAATTCATAGACTGTCATTGCAGAATTCCCCCAAGTGGAAAATCTCCAATTAAAACTAAGTGAATTAAAGCTTTGTAGTACTAAACCTCCATGTTTAGCTTTTCAATAATACATAGTGACAGGCTAACAGACCTTCAGTGATATCAATAACATCTGCCTAAACTACAAACACATCCTTATTCCTTTGAGTCTCTTTCTAGGATATGCACATCAGTTTCTACAGAATACTGATCAAAAACTCATCTGGTCTTATCATCACAGCTAAACAAGATGAAAGTGTACTTTAAAATATGTTTAATGTTCCCAATCCCCAGCCAATGGTTTGAGGAGAGAGAAGAAAATTAGTACAAGCTGTTTTTTCAGGAAGTCCTATTAACTAATATTTATTTATTTATTTTTTCAAATGTATATATGCCGCCCATCTCACTATCCAAGTGACTTTAGGGGTCACTATCCAAGTTACTCTAGGCGGCGTGTTCATCTTCTCATTATAAGCCCCTGGTAAGCTTCTAAAAACAATCAAGTTTATTTATTTATTTATATTTCAAATTTGGTCACCACCCATCTCACTAGGAAGTGACTCTGGGTGGTTTAAAGTAAAAACAGTACAGTTCTTCAACACAGACTTATAATGTAAGTTTAGGTTGTCAATTTGAATCACTACATTTTGGATTCAATGAAATTTACAAAAGCTACTGTCCTGGATTATGGCTTGTCATCTATACAATCTTCCAGGACGTGCCATTCTACCTGGCAGTTTTCTATGTATCTTCCTTCACCAGATAGTTAGCATTTCATGAGCATATATGTTTACTGGCTGCTTGGGGATCCCTTCCATGATATGATATGATATGATATATTATTTTTTAGTAATGTTCCTTTGTACAGGAATATTCCTTTGTATAGTTTAGTGTAGTATAGTGTAGTATAGTAATGCTCCTTTGTACTGCAAATATCTTGCTTGTACCTGGGAGATCTTTTTTATGCTGCATAATATCCCATATTCTAAGAATGAGCTCTTCTGACTTCAAACAAACAAACAAACAAAACCCCCCAACTTGCAGCTCTTTTGGAACTGGATTTCAAAAGAGGACATTTGGTTTGGGGCCCATCAATCTATCTCTCTTTAAAGGTTTGCTTTCTTAGCCAAGGGATAATAATTATTTATCTACTGTAGTAGGAGGGAAGCAATCTCAATTAGCATTTCCAAGAGCTTTCAACCTGAAAAAGATTAAAAGCAAGAATGGTGAAGAAATAAGGCCGTGGTACTGTCTGGGATCCACTGTTTGTATCCATGTTCTTTGAAGCAGAGAAGAGTCAAGCAGCAAGGAAGTAATTTACAGACACTGTGGTTCCAGGACAAATGGTTCTGGAGTGCAGCTAAATGGGGTACACAAAGGCAAAGTTATTTATTCTGCCTTTAGTGCAGAATTTTAAAATATCCTCAAGGGAACAATTCCACTGAAATTGTTGGAGATAGAAAACACAGCTGTTTCTTATACTGCAGCAAAGCTAACTGACAGCCTGGAATTGAGGATTCACTGGCGGTCATTTTTTTGGTTTCAACTGTGAACAAGCAAGAACAAGAGAGTTGGCGCACTGGCTCTACCCAGCAATTCACTTGAGTTAAGCCTGGATGGAGGCAAAGAGGTTGATGAACTGCACTCTCCCTTACTGAGCCAAAGTTCCTTCCTGAGCCATTCAGTCCCATTTGTCTATGACCCAGTATATGCACAGGAGACAATAACTGAGATCTTCACTTCTGGCAGTGCATTTCTTACCACTCTCATTGGGGAGAGAGAGCTGAAGAACTTTTCCTGGCTCCAGTCTTGAAAGACGTGATGTACAGTGAAGCTATGTTGGCACAAAATAGCTGACTATCCCAGAGAAATGACTCAGCCCTGGATGCTGCCAGTGCACAGTTATGGATGCCCCAGTCAAAGAGGGAATGTCCATGTTTGAAAATCTCTTTGGGAAGCTATTACTTCCTGCCACTTCTTGATTGTGGAAAAAATATCTATGGTGGCCCAGTCAAGGTCAGCACCACCACAAAGAGAGGTGGGAAAACTCTCTCTCTCTCTCTTTTTTTTTTGCTCCTTTTCCACTCCCTCCCCATGTGCTCATGTGGGGCTAGGATGAAAAGTAAAACAGTAAGTGAAAGGGAGTTCCTAGATCAGTCCTCTTTTTGTGGGGTCAGTCTAGTTTGTTTCCATGCCAGAAGCAGAAAGAAAAAATAAATAAAACCTATAAATCTTCTTTGCCCTCTTCTCAAAACATGGTTGATCTGGGGAAGAGAGATTAACCCAAACTACCCCTGGACTGTTTTTGTCTAAGACCATTGATTAGCTTATGTTAATTGGATGACACCATAGCTTCATCCATGACTCAACTAAGCATATCATTAAGAACAGGATCTTTCTGTGCATGTGCTTAGTGAAATGGAGTGCCTAAAGTAGGGGGATTTACCAACAATCAATGAGCAATCTTCAGATTTGTCCCTGGGTTCCAGCAGCTTACCCCTAGCTTAATACATCTATTACTCCTTTCCTCACACTGGGACCTGTTTGGAGACTGGACACTCAAACAGCATCTATTTTGGATGACTGGAGATTAGCACTCTCTCTCCACATCCTTTATCTGATAAAGTGTTTTACTTATTTATTTATTATAAAATTTATATGCCGCCCATCTCCCCCAGAGGGTGTCTGGGCGGCTTACAATTAAACTTACATGTGTCTGGCTGTGGCAGCTTCAAAATCCCACATGATGATAGAACCATTTGCACTTGCAGTAGCTAACAAACTGTAACCTTCTACTTTTAACAAATCAAAGCACTTCACTTCAATCCCAGGAGGTAGCTGAAAAATACACAAAAGATTTATAATTAAACTGTGGAGATGCTATTGGATGAAATGCACGACTATTAGTACTGCTACAGCTATCTGTTAATTATATAGCAGTCCAGAGCAACTGAGTTTAATGGTTATTTTTAAAACAAACATGCCCAGAAGCTCACAATTTAAGAGACTGAAATTGCCTTTCTTTGCCTCTTAATTATTATCTCAAATAGAGCAAGGGTATGTACGGTGATTATGGAATGTATTTATCCATTTGATTTATACCCTGCCTTTCTATTCAAAGCCAAACTTCTAAAAAAAATAAAGTTAAAATATAAATTAAAATTAATGCTAAACATGATAAGAATTAAAGCCTTATGAAAGAGAGATGTGTAAATACTGGAGTGTTGGACCCAAAAGAAACTCCCTAGAGAGTGTGCAATCCATAGTTTGGGAGCAATGCAGAAGGCCTTCCCTCTCTCATGTACCATAAAAGTCAGCCTTTGACAGCAGCAGCATCTTTACAAGGGCCTCTTCTATAGTTCTTATCTGCTGAGCAGGTTTGTAATGGGAGAGGCTGTCCCTTAGATATTTATGTCCTAAGCCATTTAGGTCTTTAAAGGTTAATTTCAACACTCTAAACTGTGTGTGTTAATGGCCATTGGTGCAGATCTTTCAGTAGAAGCATCATGTGATCCCTATAACTAGTGCCAGTTAGCAAGCTAGATGTGGCACTTTTTACCAACTGCAACTTTCAGACACTTTTCCAGGGTAGCCCTAGAGTACATTGCAGTGAGGACATAAGCAAGGAGTAGTTAACTGTTCCAAACCCAGCAGGCTCAGGAATGGTCATGTTTAGGGCAAAAGCAGTAATTGTGTAAATTGTTATTTGCTACACCTGTTAGCTATGAATCCAGTGAAAGCTGAGACTGATGGGAGCACTTGCAGATGTGAATCTGCTCTTTCAGGGGAAGTGCATATTATCCAACAGCACCTCTGTATTCTTTGGATTCAGTCTGAGTATCTCTCTCATTTAGCCCATTATCAGAGTTAGGCAATGTTTAAAGACAATAGTTGTTTCCTTGAAGTCAGATGATAAGGGGCAATAGAGCTGGGTGTAATCAGCATATTGATGGTACCTACTCTAAAACACCACATGATATCCTTCTGTGATTTCATGTAAATATTGAACAACATGGGGAACAAGTTGGAAGCCTATGAGATATCAACACTACTTTTTGGTTATGACCTGAAATAAAGGAAACACTGCAAATCATGACCCCAAGGTCCAATTCTGCCAAACAGTCCAGAAGAATCCTACTGTCAGTGGTGTTAAAAGCTGCCAAATTGTCCAGCAGAACTAGCAAGACCATAGTCTCCCTCATCCAGTTCTGGTGTGCGTCATCCACCATGGTGATCAAAGTAGTTTTAATGCTATATTCTAGTCAAAAACATGATTGAAATTGGCACAGATAATCAGTATCATCCAGACAAAATATTTGAGACTGGCCTACAATTCAACAGGTGTCCTGGATCAAGGGATTTCTTTTTTCAGTACAGATCTTATAGAAATACTGTAAGAATAGATATGACCAATCAACAAAGGTGCCACAGCATTAAACCAGACTTTACTATTCCTAGAGTAGTTTTTCATCTCCTGAGAATGCTTGAAGTTCAGCACAACTGGAATGCATTTTTTAAATCTTGGATTAATTATACAAGTCTGTTGCACATAATACTAGTCACAAAAGGCAATCACACATTCACCCAGAGGTGGAGAAAAGCTATAGGGGACTGATAATTGCTAGCCACTTTTATCTATATTTTATCTATCCATAGCAGGACAGAGTCCCCCAATCTGTGCCCTGGAATGTTGGTACTTCGATTCCTAGAACACCCAACTATCATGATTTTGCAATCCCATAGCATCTGATGGGCATCAGATTGGGAAGGGATAGCTGACCAGGACAGATAAACAATCATAGACAGACAACCCATAGAGAAAGGCAACCAAGAGCTTCACAATCCTTTCCAACTATCTTTGTCCATCTCCAGATGAACTTACAGAAAGCAAAAATTCACTTTACTTTTTGACTGCTTATTTTGCTTTGGACTTCAGATGCAAAAAACTTTTTAGAATAATTTTCTCTTTCTTCTTGTTTTCTAGAACATATCTAGAAATACAATAGTTCCTCACCTCTGTAGCTGAGTTTATTAGATCTGTATCAAGCAGCAGTTGAACGTCCGGAAAAAAACCATTAATTTTCTTGACATTGGTACTCAGTTTTAGGGATATGAGTGGATAACCTTGTAGAGCAAATGACACAGCTTCAGGGAGTTCCCAGGTTATAGACAGGTAAATTTCACCTTCATTACCCTAGGAGAACAAAGAATTGAAGATTAATTCATAGATACTTGACAATTAACCTGGCATAATAGGGGGAAATTTCTAGCTTTGTAACGTATTTTGTATACACCAGACATATTCATGTTAGGACATTTATCCAAGATTAGCAGTAAATGTATGAACTGTCATACCACTGGATGACATCCACACGTGGACATTTCACACAAAGTTATCTTTGGGGAGATGGACTCACTTCAAACCCATCATTTATGTAGAATACTTTGATGGTAGGACAGCTTTTGAAATTGAGTCAGAATTTGAGGGCTGCAAAGTGGGTTGGGACCACACCACATAGCGATCATTAACCAAGGCTTCTGGTTTCTGGTCAGCACAAGTAGTTATGAGTAGCAAGCAGTATGTTAGAAACTGAACGCAGCATAGCTTGGAAATGCAAGGTGACTCAAGGAGGCAGCTCTGAGCTCAACAAGCTTCTGGGGATTTAATTAATTAAATCAATTTTAACTTAATGTCTTATGAACAAATGACTGAAGTAAGCATCTGGTGAAAAACATGTTTCTGGAGTCTTTTCTAAAAAGCCTAAATTAGATAATTAAAAAGGTAATTCCCAATAAAAATTCTGCTCTTAATATTTAGGAAATATTCTTCATTCTCATTTAATAGGTAGTCACATGGGGATTATGTAAATTTAACACACCCTTATTCAAATAAATTATTAGGGATTGAAAATTGTGCATCTTCTTGATACATTATTTCAGGAGTCTCCAATATGGTATCTGCACTAAAAATGCATGGGGTTTATCTTTCTCCTGAAATTTCAGGGAACTGAGACTGAATTATTGTAGTTTAAAAGAGCTTAAAATACATATTTTTTTACCCAGGCCATTTAGAGGGTGTTTTAGAGGTTTTGTGCCAGTATTTAATGACTTACTAGATTAGAATTTATTGTATATGATTATTTGTAAGCTGCATAGAGCTTGATGAGGGTAGTTGGCATATATACAGTTTTAAATGAACATGTAAATAAATAAGTACAGGTAGTCCTTTTTAATGATGGTAATTGGGACTAGGAACTCTGTTGCTAAGTGACACAGTTGTAAAGCATGACATCATCTGACCATGTCAACTTACAATTGCAGTTCCTGCAGTTCCAGTTGTGGTCATTATGCAAATCCTGCTTGTCATTAAGTGTGATATCATGTGGTTTCCATTTGCAACCTCCTGCCAGATTCCCGATTGACTTTGCTTGTTGGAAGCTGGTAAGGAAGGTCATAAATGATGATCACATGACCACAGGATGCTGCAATTGTAATTGCAAGACAGTTGCCAAGCACCTGAATAGCAATCACATGACCATGGGGACATTGTGATGGCCACAACTTTGAGAACTGGGTGTAAGTGGTTGTTAGCCGAGGACTACCTGTAAAAGAGATCAGGAAAACCTTGGTGGGATTAACAGCAGTAGAACTAAGAAGTCATAAACAGAATATAAACAATAAAGATAAACAGGACAAAGAGGTAACCTATTTATGGGTTAAATTTATGAAAATTTAATTATACTCTAATTGCTTGAGAAGGGACTTAATCTTTGATTATATTAAAGCTGTAATTCTGCACAAATGTATTTGGAATATGAAGATGTTCTGTAAATACGTGAGAGGAAGTATTTCACAATGTTGATTACTGAGCCTGCAGAGATTCTCCAACCAGGGGCCTTCTCGCTATCTTGGGATTACAGCTAACATAATAGCAAACCTGGTCATGGGGAGCTGAAGTCCCAGCACATCTGGAAAGCCATAGTTAGGAGAGACTGGTTTCTTTGACTTTTTAAATTGAGAACAAAGTGAAGCAAATGAAATAGAAGATGTACAAATCAAAGCTCAAACCTGAACAATTTTGATCATTCCGCTGTACTCCAAGACCAGGATCACATGCTTACTCCCACTGGCTTTCAAGTAGATCATCTGCATCAGCCAATGTTCATTGTCATTGATTTCCTTGCCTAAGGGCAAAACTTTAAGTACCTGCCCACTTCCAAAATCCCATATTTTCACAGTCCCTAATGTGTAATAAAACAGAAGGTATATCACTCTTCATAGAAATAACTAATAGCTGAGTGCTACAATGAGAAGAAAGCAAACAGTCATGACATATCAATGTCCCAAGACTAAATTGGCCATCAAAAAAAGACAGTCATTTTTTTTATTTATTTGAAGTATTTAGATGTTTCTTAATTACCACACGTCTCAGAGTAATGCACAGTTCCAAATAATAAAATTGTAACACAAAAAAACAAAACATTATTTAAATGCAAAAGAAACAGTTTTAAAATCTACAGCAAAATAGTGCAATTTTTATTCCATCTAAATTTTTTTCCACTTTTATTTAAACAAAGCACTAAAAATGATAAACAAAGTATCATCATCATCATCATCTGTTGGTTGCACAGTCAGCCAGATGTTTAGACTGGATTTGGCCTTTTTATCCACCTATTAAGTCCTTCCCAAGGACTTGGGATAGGCAAATATTGTTGTTTAAAGGTGTTAAAAGTATCATTGCAGGATATAAGCTCTTCCAAGTAAAACCGCCTTTTGCAATTGACTGATGGTGATTTTGTCAATGTCGATGGTCTTCAAGTAGTGCTCCAGATGTTTGGGGATTGCGCCCAGGGCCCCTATTGCTATTGGTACTATCTTTGCTTTCTTTTGCCACACTCATTCTATTTCTATTTGCAGGTCTTTGTATTTTGTGATTTTCTCCAGTTCTTTCTCTTCTATTCTGCTATCACCAGTTATTGCAATGTCCAGTATCCAGACGTTTTTGTCTTTCTTATCAACAACTGTTAAGTCTGGGGTGTTGTTTGGCAGGTGCTTGTCTGTCTGAATTCTAAAGTCCCAGAGCACTTTAGCTTATTCATTTTCTATTACTTTGTCTGTTTTGTGGTCCCACCAGTTCTTGCTTGCAGGCAAATGGTGTTTCTTACAGATATTCCAATGTACCATTGTTCCTACTTTGTCACGCCACTGTTTGTAGTCAGTCTGTGAGGTCTTCTTGCAGCAGCTAACTACTGCTGTGGTCCACTGTTTCTTCAGCTTCTTTGCAGAGGTGGCATTTGCTGTCTGTTGCTGTCTTCTCAATTCTGGCTTTGTATGCTTTTGTTCTTAAGGCTTGGTCTTGTGCGGCCAGCTTGCTGGCTGGGGAATTCTGGGAGTTGAAGTCCATACATCTTCAAGTTGC